TAGTTTATTAAAATTGCGAGTAGACTACATTTCCTCAAAGCCATTAAGGAAATGGGAATCAGTTATGCAGGCTACAATTGATGAGATTAGTCCCAAGAAACTGCACAAAAGAGGTACAAATCCTTCAATTTGATCACAGGAACATGAGAAATCTCTCCTGCACATGGCAATAGCATTGTTTCACTGCAAAGTAAAAAGCCTTTCAAGCAAGGCAAACAAACAGTCACAGTAGGAAGACATGTCATCAGAAATAATATTGTCAGGGAGATTTGATTAAAGAAATAGATCATACAGACCAGAGAATTGGACATCTTGGAGTAAATGATACTTAAGATAAAGAATAGCTTCCAAATTAGACACTAAATCAGAATCTAAGCAACTTAAAACATCTCCACCTTCAATTTAGAATATGGTGGCTGATGTTATAGCTCACCAAGGAATGAAAGAAGCAACAGATATTTTTGAAGAAGTACTGAAAGCCTTCAATAATACTTTAATCTTGGAACAAATAAAATTCTTGAAAGGGCAAGATCTAACAGAAAAATCCAGCATCCAGGGAATTCTTAATAATTTCATTAATGATCTTTAAAGATTGCTTGAAAAATGTGACTAATGTGATTTAAAGTCTGAATTCATAAGAGACAGAATTGTTGTGGAATTGCTGATAAGTCTTTGTCAGATTTATTCCGTCAAAAGACAATTTAAGTTTATAGAAAACCATACAAGTGGTGACTGAAGCAGAAGTCTGGAAGTGGTCAGATCAATCCTGGGAGGAGAAGATCAACTTTATCACAGGAGGTCAGTGGCATTCAGTTCTTACGGTATAAAACGCCTAAATGCCCACATGAGAATCCAATACAGAAAATAGGATGGACATCAGTGATACTAATAGTCAGTGTCAGCACTGTAGAGCAAGAGAAACCTTACAGGCGCAAACAGTGCCCAGTTATTTTTTAAAAAATAATGCTTTGTTTGTAAAACAGCAGGTCATTTTTAGAAAATGTGCCCAAATTGTGCACAGTCACAATGGAGTAAGAAATTAAATAGCTATTCACACAAAAACATTCAGATTCACTGGCGATAAGAATACAGATCTGCTCACGCACATTGAAGGTATGGTGTATTTGACCCTATGGAAACCAACGCTGGAAAAAAACATAAGGAATAAGAGCGGAAGCAGGACATTTGGTCCTTCAAGCCTTCCCTGCCATTCTATAAGATCTCGGCTGATCTGCCCCAGACCTCAATTCTACCTTAGCTCCTCATAGCACTCAAAAATCTATCTACCCCCTCTTTAAGTGCAGTCAGTTGTCCAGCCTCCACAATGCTCTGAGGTAAGGATTTCCAGACTTTCACTACTCTATGAGAGAAGAAATTCCTTCACATCTCATTTTTAAATGATGCCCTCTTATTTTGTAACTATGCATCCCAGTTTGAGATTCCCCCGCTAATGGAAACATCTTCTCAAAATCTACCCTGTCAAACAAACCCCCCACCACCACCTCAGAATCTTGCATGTTTTTTTTAATAAAATCATCCATCACTCTTCCAAACTCCCAACTGTTTTTGTGTTATCATGAAATTTGGATACATTGCACTCTGATCTCTATTCCAAGTCATGAACATTGATGTAAAATAATTCAGGGCTTAGGACTGATCCTTGTGGCACTCCACTAATTACATCTTTCTAATCTGAGAAAGACCCACTAATCCTGACTCTCTGTCTTCTGTGTTAACCAATCCTCAATCCATGTTAATGCCTTATCCCCCATAACCATGAACTCCTATTTTGTGCAATAATCTTTTATGTGGTAACTTATTGAATACCATCTGGAAATTCAAATACATGACACCTACCAGTTCCCCTTTGTCAATGCTGCTGGTTATATCCTCAAAAAACTCTAGAAAATTTGTAAAACATGATTTTTCTTTCAGAAAACCGTGTTAATGCTGTTTGATAGCATTATGCTCTCCAGACTTCCTGCTATTTCTTCCTTATTAATAGATTTGAGCATTTTCCCAGTGACAGATGTTAGGCTAACTTGTCTATAGTGTCCTGTTTTTGATCTGTCTCTCTGCTTGAACAAGGGAGTAACATTGATGGTTTTCTAATCCACTGGAACCCTGCTGAGGTCCAGTGAGTTCTGGGATATTTTGACCAATATCTCTGGAGCCATTTTCTTTAAAAATCTTGGATGCAGCCAACAAGTCCTGGTGACTCTTCTGCCTGCCCAATACCAATAGTTTGTCAAAAACTTTGTCTCCTGTGATACAGACTATTAGAAGACCTTTTCTCCCAATAGGACTTCATATATCTGATACCTTTGGGATATGTACAGTATCCTTGACCATGATGACTGATACAAATACTGGTTTGAATTATCTGCCATTTCCCATTCCTTATTATCAATTGCCCAGTCATATCCTCCAACAGTCCCACACTCACTTTAGCTACTCGCCTTCTTTTCATATACCAATTGAAGCTCTTGCTGTTTGTTTTTATACTTCTTGCCAATTTACTTTCATAATCAATATTCTTGCTTTTTATTACTGTCTAGTCAACCATGGCTGGTTCCTAAAAATTCACAATCCTCTGGCCTGCTTCTCATGTTTGCTATTTTCTTTCCAATTGGATACTGTCCTTGACAGCCTTTGTTAACTATGGGTTTATCTTTCTCATTGAGTCTTTCTTTTTGACCAGGATAAATTTTTGATGCACGTTATGAAATATCTGCTTAAATGTTGGTCACTGATCATCTGCTGACCTCCCCTTCATCTATTTCCCAAACCCACTTCAGACAACTCTTCTGTCATCCCTCTGTAATCGCCCTTATTTAAGTTGAGGGCACTGGTTTGAGACCCAGATGTGCTCTCCCTCAAACTGAATTTGAAATTCTACCACGTTGTGATTGCTACCCACTAGAGGATCCTTGTCTAAGAGATTTCTTATCAATCCTACTTCATTATGCATTACTAGATCTAAATAAAAACCTGTTCCTGGGTAACACAGTGTGGAGCTGGAGGAGCACAGCAGGCCAGGCAGCATCAGAGGAGCAGTAAAGTTGACATTTCGGGTCCAGACCCTCCTTTTCTGAAGCAGACTTCTGACCCGAAACGTCAACTTTCCTGCTCCTCTGATGCTGCCTGGCCTGCTGTGTTCCTCCAGCTCCACACTGTGTTATCTCTGACTCCAGCATCAGCAGTTCTTACTATCTTTGCTCCTGGGTAAGTTGTGCAAACTATTGCTTTAACAAACAATCCTTGATGCACTCTAGAATTTCATCATCCAAGTTATCTTTGCCCATCTGGTAGGTCCAGTCAATACGTAGATTAACATCATCCTTGACAGTTTATAGAATCATAGAATCTCTACAGTGGGGGGGCTAGCCATTCAGCCCATCGAGTCTGTACTGACCTTCCAAAGAGCATCCCATTCAGACCCACACCCCCCCACTGCTATCCTTGCAATCCTGCATTTCCCATAGCTTAGCCACCCAGCCTGCACATCTTTAGAAGGAAACCGGAACACCTGCACGAGACACATGCAGACATGGGGAGAATATGCAGACTCTACACAGACAGTCTGCTGTAAGGAGGGACAATATCTTGGAAGGGTCTTCAAATGAGGCTTTCAGGGTAGAGCTGAGAAATAGAAAAGGGGCAGACACACTGCTGGGAGTATATTACAGACTCCAAACAATCAGCGGGCAATAGAGGAGCAGGTATGTAGGTGTGTAAGAATAAGAATAGGGTATATATATTAAGGGATTTCATGATGGGATTGAAAATATATATTCATTTCTTTTCATGGAATAATACCTTTTGTTAAAAGCTTTGGCTAATAATGTTTAGAAGTAAATTTTATTTAGAAACTGGAAAAATACCTGGGAGGAGATGTTTGATAAGTACAGAAAGGGGCTCTGAGGTAAACAATGATATCACTGTGGTCTCAGGGGTCATGTGTAGTGTTCTCATAAGACTGCTCCTCCATAGCCTTACCATCATGTAGAGCATAGCAATACACACAGATTAACATGTCTGATCTTCTGTCAGTACCTGAAGGATTCACATGAACATGATCGAAAGGTTGGGGTACAGGGGATGGATGACTTTCCCTCTGAGCATAATGCCTCAACTTGTTATGCAATATTACCACTGTACCACCTTAATTTCTATTATACTGTACCATCTTAATTTCTATTATACTGCACCACCTTAACCATTGTAATACTGTACCACCGTAACTACTATAATACTGTACCTTAATTACTGTATTACTGTACCCCTTTAGCCACTAAGATACTGTACCACTGTAACTACTGTATTACTGTACCACTTTAGCCACTGTAATACTATACCAGCTTAACTTTGTCATTAGCCTGTTCTTGTTTTTTGGATCTTGCTGTGTGAAAATTGACTGCAGGGATTGTTGATTTAACAAAGTGACCACCCTTTGAAAAGTAACTCATTGGATACGCAGCACTTTGAGATTCTCAAGGAGATGCTAGATACTGTACAACACTCTTGTGCAAACCACAAACACTGGCATGGACCTTTTGGAATAAATGGCTGTGAATATTTTGTCATAAATGCAAGCTCACCAATGAGATTTTCTCTCTCTTTTTAATGTGAAACTAAAGAGAAAAGAGGCAACACAATCTGGCATTTCCACTGCATCCAGACACAGAGAGGGCTGAAAGATGGCTGAATGTGGAGTGGCATTGGTGCAGTGAATAATTCCTGACTACAAAATCTTATTATGCTTAAAGTTTAATTTTACCCTTATTTCATGACGCAGACGTTCTGATGAAGACGTAATCCCAGTTGAGAGAATTAATGGCCTGTGAAAATACAAGCTCTGGGCATTTCACTGTTGTCAAAAGTTAGTTAATAAATTAGACTCAGGTTAAAAAGCAACAATGTACACGTGAAGTTGATTGCTTTAAACCCTGATAAAGCTTTAAAAAGCTCACTTCAACCCAGAGACAAACAAACAGCTCAGGAATTACCAAGCACAGGGAACTCCTTTTGGGCAGAGACAAGGCACCATGCTGAAGAAATTGGTATGTTTTATACATTAATTCCTCCTGCTTCTCACTTTACCAGTGTATTCTCTTCCGCCTGTCAGCAATGCTGACACAGATCTGTGTGGTTGATACAATAAGCCAGAATAAGTTCCTACGAGGAATTGTCACTCAGACAAACCAGCAAGGATGGCTGCTTTTGTGAAGTGGAGATGCACACATCCAGCACTATTTATGGAGTTTTATCTGTATCTAACCCCATGCTGTACCTGTCCTGAGTGTGTTTGACAGGGACAGAGTAAAGGGAGCTTCACTTTGTATTTAACTGCTTGTTGTGCTTGCCTTGGTCGTGCTTTGGAGAGTGTAGAGAGAGTTTTACTTTCCTTTGAGCCCATGCCAGACTACTGTTGGAATGTTTGCCAGGGCAATGCAGTGGAAGCTTTCCTCTGTATCTGTTGGTGCCTTTCATGGGGGATAGTATAGGGAGCTTTACTCTGTATCAAACCAATACTGTGCATAGGAGGGGTTTGATGCAAGAGTTTTGAATATTTTTCTTTATTTCTGAACGATGCTGTACTTGTCCTGGGTGTGTGTGATGGAGTGATAATCATTAAGTCAGTATACATTTCATGTATAACTCTTACAAGTGGCAGAAAGCACTTGTATTCCCAAATTGTGGACTGAATTCAAAGAGGGATTCCAGAAATTGAGAACAGCAGTGAAACAATTATACCAATCACTGCCCCTCACTATATTATTTCCTTGATTTGATAACAGGGATCTGCAGCTGGTGACTGCAATCTGTCCAAATCCCAGGAACAGGAATGGTGCACGGTCAAACTCTCTCCCCACTGTACTCACTTCCATGGACACAGTGCAGAGTTTACAATCAGAATGTCACTGCTTCCTCTCACAGCAGGGTGGCAATGAGGTTCAAGCAGAACAACCCTTTTTTTAAGTTTGGAGGGATTTGTGGGACTTGTTTAGTTTGGGATTATGGTCACCATGGACTGGTTGGACCGAAGGGATGGTTTCTGTGCTGTATGACCCTACAAATCTATGACAATTGCCACTTCACCTCCAAAGGAGTTCAGGCAAAGTGTTTTGAGCCATTTCAATGCCAAACTGCAATGCTGTGTAGATGTGACTATTCTGGAAATGGGGATGTAATACAGTAATAGATATCCCTCATGACCATTATCTGTGACTGGAATCAATCATAAATTGTAAGTCCCATCCTACAACCTTGTGTTTATACCTTATTGATATTATTGTTTCTGAAAGGAACGTTGTCATTGTTAAATGAGTGATGTTTATTTGGGCCGATCATGGCCTTTGTTGCTGGAAATGGGGAAATAGGAGGAGGCAATTCAACCTCTCAATTCTGTTGCCCCTTTCAATTGGTGACAATGTTCTTTAATCCTCTCATCAAATAAATCATGGTCAATCTCAGCTCTGAAATGTTAAATTGTCCTGGTCGGCATGGACAAGTTGGGCCGAAGGACCTGTTGACTCTTTGACCACCCAGCTCCAGCCTCAACAGATTTTTGGAGGAAGAGAGTTACAGATTTCTCTACTCTTTGTCTGAAGAAATGCTTCCTGACATCACCTCTGAACAGCTTAGTTCAATTTTTTTAAGGTTTTAACTCTCCAAGCCAGTGGACATATAATTACTTCATTAAATTTTTTTAATTGCAAAGATTTATCATAAAAGATCTTAATCTACATTCACATGTACTAAAGCAGTTCTGTACAGTTTTTGCATATCATGAAAAACAAACATTAGGATATGATATTCCCTACAGTTGCAAAAAATAGACATTTCTGACTCATGCAGGACAATATTCACAATACATTGAGGCACCGAGAGGGTCTGACAACTGAACAAACCCCCATAGTACCTTGGTGGCAGCTGCCCCAAGCTTTAGTGCGTCCCTCAGCACGTCCCAGGCCTTGGAATGTGCCAGTCTGCAACACTCGGTCAAGGTCAGCTCTTTGCACTGGAAGACCAATAGATTTTGAGCAGACCAAAGAGTGTCTTTCACCGAGTTGATGGTCCTCCAGGTGCAGTCGATATTTGTCTCGGTGTATGCCCCAGGGAACAGCCCATAAAACACGTTGTCCTGCATCATCAAATCCTTAAAGTTAGATTAGCTCTTAATCTTCTGCAATCAAGGGAATACAAGACTAATCTAGACACTGTGGTTTCATAACTTAAAGCCTTTTAGTCCAAGTAATATTCTGGTCAATTTTTACTACACTCCCTTTAAGTGCTTCCTAAGGTGGATGTTATTTGGATCCATCTTTCTTGGTCTAAATTAGATAACTTCCCCACATTGAACTGTTATCTGCCACAATTTTTCTCACTGTGATATTTTTAAGTGTTTTTTTTAAATCTGTGATTCTTTTATGTCCCTTTATTCTCACTGTAGCTCCAGGGACGTATGCTTCTCCCATTGATCCTTGTGACTGGGATTGGAGGTGGCTTCCAATATGGATTCAACATGTCTTCAATCAATGCACCTTCAATGGTAAGTAACTCCAACTGGTATTGAAGGGGGTGTTGATGATCATTTATAGTGAATTCTCTCAAGTGGGGCAGAGCAGTTACTTTGACAGAGTTTGGGATCTGTATATTGCAGTGGAAGAGAACTGACTGGGATTCTTTCTCATTCATGGGATTTGGGCATCACTGGCTGGGACAGCATTTATTGCCTATCCCTCGTTGCCCAGTTAACAGTCAATTACGTTGCTGTGGGTGTGGAGTCACATGTAGGCCAGACCAGGTAAGCAGCTATAAGGAGAGGCTGACTAGGCTGAGGTTACTTTCCCTGGAGCATCAAGGGCTGAGGGGTGACCTTATAGAGATTTATAAAATCACAAGGGGCATGGATAGGGTGAATAGTCAATGTCTTTTTCCCAAGGTGAGGGAGTCCAACGCTAGGAGGCATAGGTTTAAGGTGAGAGCAGAAAGATTTAAAAGGGACCTGAAGGGCAACATCTTCACACAGAGGGTGGTGCGTGTATGGAAATGAGCTGCCAGAGGAAGTGGTGGAGGCTGGTACAATTACAACATTTAAGAGGCATCTGGATGGGCACATGAATAGGAAGGTTTTCGAGGGATATGGGCCAAATGCTGGCAAATGGGACTAGATTTATTTAGGATATCTGGTTGGCATGGACGTGTTGGACCGAAGGTTCTGTTTCCGTGCTGTGTATTTCTATGCCTCTAAGACTGCAGTTTCCTTCCCTAAATGACATTAGTGGCTTTTTTGAACAATTGGCAATGGTTTCATGGTCATCATTAGATTCTTAATACCAGATTTTTACTGAATTCAAATTCCAAAATCTGCCGTGGTGGGATTTGAACTTGGGTCCCCACAACATTACCTGGGTCTCTGGATTAATAGTCTAATAGAATAGATAATACTGCTAGGCCATCACCTCTCCAAAGGGAGCAAACCTGCCCAGATTGATGAGGGATTTAAATCCCCTCCCTGCTGGCTGAAACATGAAACGTGGAATCAGACAGTGTGGAAAGAGGCCATTCATATCATGCACGTGCAAGCTCCTTGAAAGAGCCTTCCAATCAGTCCCTTTTCCCATACATTATTCTGATATCTTCCCCTTTTCAATGCTGTTATTAAAGTAACTTTCAAAAGGTAAATTGGATAATCATTTTCACTATCCTTTCAGGAAGTGCATTCCAAATTACCACAACATGTTTAGTATAAAAAGTTTTCTTCATCTTCCATCTCACCATTTTTTTTGTCAATTACCCCAACATGTGTCCTCCACTTACCACAGCTCCTGGCAGTGAGAGCTGCTTCACAGACAGTCTGGACCCCAGATACTGGTGGATTTACATTACCATGCCAACAGTTGTTGAGCTACTTAAAGCAGTCAACATCTTTTGCAAGTTGGGAGGGAGAGGGAGGATGTTCCAAAGTCACAAATGTGATTTCACATGGAACTAAAATAGAAGTGTTCTCACTGACACAGAAGGAGATTTAAAAAAAAAACAGAAAGCAAGCAGCAGGAGACATTTCAAACTGTTAATATTTTTATTGCTCCTGAAAGCTTGCCTCAGGGGTGCAGAGTTTCACTGGTACAGAGTGACTGTAGGCAAGTGCCCTGTTTAACACTTCGGTTGGGTGTATGATATGTGATGCTGAACACACCAACTGACTTACCAAAGAGAAACTAGTCAGCATCAGAATGAGGTTACCCACACACGAAAGAACACCTTTCACAAATTTAGGATATACCAAAGTATTATACGACCAATGATGAATTGCTGCAAGTAACAATTACTGTTGTAATAAGGAATATGCAATAGACAGTTGGTGCACAGCAGGATCACACACACAGCAAAGTGATCTCAATCAATCTGCTCCTAGAAATGTTGTTAGTGTGATTAATATTGGTCAGAATACCAGTAAGAACTAACCTGCTCTATTTTAATTAGTGCCATTCACCTGGTAGGATGCGCAGAATTTCCCATCTTTTCCAAAACCTGTGACAAGGTACTATTGTCTCGGTCACTCACTAGCATTCAGGAATCGTATTCTTTGTACATGAACTTGATTTTCTAATAATGCATGCTATCAGGCTTTTGGTAAAAATGTGGAAAATTTGGCAAAATTCAAGACTGTGCCATTGCATGTTCCTCTTCTAGATATTCCACAGTGACAAAAAATACTTAATCGATGTAAAATACTTGGGGTTATGAAAAGTTATACGTAGACGTATATCTTCCTTTCTATTCTGACAGTAATATTCAACTTGAAACATTAACTCTGTTTCTCTTTCCACTGATACTGCCAGACCCACTGAGTTTCTCCAACATTTTTATTTTTTAAAATTTCTTCCTTTCTGTTACTCTACACAGAGAATTTCAGATTTATTTTAATATTACAGTTTATTAAGGAATTCATTGCTGAGACTTGGGTCGCTCGCTTTGGCACAACATTGGATGAAACGGCCATCACACTCCTCTGGTGTGTCATCGTCTCAATCTATCCAATTGGAGGACTGATTGGAGCTCTGAATGCTGGGCATCTCTCCATAAAGTATGGGAGGTAGGAATTGACACAAACCTGTTCTGTGAAAATAATGCACCAAAGTGTAAATCACTCAGAGATAGTAAGAACTGCCGTTGCTGGAGTCAGAGATAACACAGTGTGGAACTGGAGGAACACAGCAGGCCAGGCAGCATCAGAGGAGCAGAAGAAGGGTCCCGACCTGAAACGTCAGCTTTCCTGCTCCTTTGATGCTGCCTGGCCTGCTGTGCTCCTCAAGTTCCACACTGTGTTATCAAAGTGTAAATGTTGTTTTCCAGGGGAAATATGTCATTTTGGTTCACAGATAGTTATCTACCTTCCCTCAAATGGGCTACTCAGTGACTTGCTCAATCTCATAGGCAGCTAATCTGGTGAACTGACTTGGTTTGATTTTGAGTGTGGTTTGGACTCAAACTTCACTAAATATCTCCTGCTAATTGAACCATTTGATTTGTGTTCCAGGAAGAATGCTCTGCTTTTCAACAACATTGTAGCCATCATAGCTGCTATAATAATGATGCTCAGTAAGAAGGGGAAGTCCTTTGAGATGATCATGGTGGGGAGGTTCCTCTATGGCATTAATGCAGGTACCTGCAACACTGTTTCGTCCTCCTGTGTTTATTTTCTAAGGTATTTCTAATATTTCTGACAACTGGTTCAGAGAACAATTCAGCTGTTTTGTATAATATGATGACTCCTGGCCTCTGTGTGGTTTGGATGAGTGAAAGGAGTGCAAGAAATATATAGACGAGCCAACAAAATACTTTCAATTAGAGTCAAGCGTTTGTGGAAAATGTTCATCCCACCTGGGTTGTGGTGACAGTTGAACAGAGAAATTTGTAACTTCTGTAAGTGTATTTTTTGCATTACATTCAGTAAAAAAGTGTGAGAAGGAGCCTTGTTTTATCTAAGTGGTTGAATGAGTTTGACAAAGCACTGACTGACTCACTGTACCATTTATTTATTACATTGCTGTGATGTTCGGTTCCTGAAGAGGGCTGTGCATTCACTGTCCAAGGTGCTGAACATTGGCATCAATTAATTACAGGCAAATTTCTCTCTCATTGTATTGTTGGATCTATTGTTGATGATTGTCCTGTTGGTGGTGTTATTTCTGGTTGTACCGCTGAATGTGTTATTGATGACGGTACACTTGAGTGTGCCCTTAACAGTGATGCTATGGTGTGTGTGTGTGATATTGATGACTGTAATTGTAGGTGTGTTTTTGATGGTGGTATTGTTCGTTGTGTTGTTCGGGGTGATATTGTTAGGCGTGTTATTGGTGACTATGCTTTCACAAGTATTGTTGATGAATGTTATATTGTGTGTGTTATTGGCGGTTGTATTTTGAGTGTGTTTGCAGATG